CACAATTTAAATAATTTTTATTGTTTATTTTATTACATATTTATGAAATTTCTTAAAAATAAAAATAATAATTAAAAATATTCTTGTTTTTTAAAAATTTTAATGTAATTGGTATCTTCTAAAATAGTTAAAAAGTATTATAAAATAAAAAAAATAATTCTAAAGAAATTAAAAAATATTAACATAAAAGAAAATAATTAATCTAAAAGAATTTATATTTAAAATAAAATAACATAATTATTAACATAATAGATGAGAAAAATAATAAAATTTATGCTAATTTATGTAAAATAAGTTAAAAGTATGTAACATGCTAAAAAATGAATTATGAAAAATCTTAAACATAATTAAATAAGAAAAAAGCATTAGAAGAATTATTTAACATAAATAATTAAGTTAATAATGAGAATTTAAATTAATAATTTTTCTTATAAATATATAAAAAAATAGTTAAAATACTTTCAAGGATAAAAAAATATATAAAAGAAATAATATTTTAGAATTAAAAATTAATAAAAAATTTAATAACGTAAGTAGGTAAAAGGAACTATAAAAATTATATCATTTGTTATAAAATATATTAGAAGTATTATAATATATAAGAAAAAGTTATGACAATTTTAAACATAATAAAATGTAAAAACAATCATGAAAAAATATTATTAAAATTTAAATAATTAAATTAATAATGTAAAATTTTAATTAATTATTATTCCTCTAAATATATAAAAATATTTAATAAATAAAAAAATAGATAACATATATAGGTGAGAAGAAACGTAACATCCATATCATTTGACGTAAAATATGTAAGAAATGTAATAACATATTAAGAAAAAATTATGATAATTTTAAACTTATTGAAAAGTAAGAATAAACGTAAAAATACATTATTGTAATGTAAATAATTATGATGATAATATAAAATTTTGATTAATTGTTTTGTATGTATCATTTGATATGAAATGGATAAAAAATATTGTAATATATTAAAAAATAGCTATTATAATTCTAAATATAATTAAATGTAAGAACAATCATAAAAAGAAATCATTGTAATGTAAATAATTAAGTTGTCAATTTAAATTTTTAATTATTTATTTTTTAAACATATAAGAAAAATAACTAAAACTTAAAAATATATTAGTGCCATAAACAAGTTAAATGAAATATAAAAATGTGAGAATTATCGTAAAATTGGTATCATTTGATATAAAATATATTAAAAGTGTTGTAATATTTTAAGAGAGAGTTGTAATAACTCTAAATGTAATGAAGGTAAGAATAAACATAAAAAAATATTATTGTAACGTAAATAATGAAGTTGACAATATAAAAGAATTATTATCTTAAACTCAAAGAATAATTCTAAATAATTAATAAGTGTTAATGTAAAAAAGTAAAAAAAAAATCATAAAACTAGTATCATTTGACGTAAAATAATTTAAAAGTATCGTAACATACTAACAAAGAGTTATGATAATTATAAACGTAGTGAAAAATAACAACATACATAAAAAAATATTATTGTAATAAAAATAATTAAGTTGGTAATGTAAAAGAAATATTATTACAAATAAAAAATAATTTTAAACAAAAAAATAAAAGTTAATGTAAAAAATTGAAAATAGTCATAAAATTAGTATTATTTGACGTAAAATAGTTATAAGTACATTACACCTTAATAAAATATTGTAATAATTCTAAACGTAATAAAAAATAATAACAAATGTAAAAAAAGGATTATTAAAATGTAAATAATTAAATTGGTAATGAAAAAAATTAGTATTATAAATAAAAAATAATCTTACACTAAAAAATAAATGTTAACTTAAAAAGATAAGAATAATCATAAAATTGATATATTTTAGCGTAAAATATGTTAAAAATGTCATAACACTTTAAGAAAAAAGTTTTAATAATTTTAAACGAATTAAAAGATAAAAAGAAGCGTAAAAGATATTATTATAAAATAATAATTAAGTTGACAATATAAAAAAAATTAATTATAAATAAAAAATAACTCTAAGCAAAAAAAAAATGTTAATGTAAAAAAGTGAGAGTAAGTATAAAATTGGAATAATTTGGAATAAAGTATATTAGAAATGTTGTAACATAAAAAGGTAAGAATAGTTATAAAATTGGTGTCACTTTGGTATAAAATTGAATTATAATTGTCGTAACTCCATAAAAAAGAGTTGTGAAAATTTTAAACGTAATAAAAGATAATGATAAACGTAAAAAAAAATATATATTATTACAACATAAAAATTAAGTAGGCAATATAAAATAACTATTATTACAAACAAAATAATAATTTTAAATTGAAAGTTAAGAGTTAATACAAAATAGTGAGAATAATCGTAAAATTTGTATTATTTAATGTAAAATAGTTAGAAGTATCGTTACACTTTAAAAAAAAAAATTATAATAATTCTAAACACAATGAAAAATAACAACAAACATAAAAAGATATTTTTAAAACGTACTAAATTGATAGCGTAAAAAAATTAGTATTATAAATAAAAAATAATTTAATTAAAAAATATGTGTTTACGTAAAAATGTGAGAATAATCGTAAAATTAATATCATTTGACGTAAAATATATTAGAAGTATCGGAATACCTTAAAAAAAATTGTGATAATTTTAAACATAATAAAATATAATAATAAGTGTAATAAATTTCATTGTAACGTAAATATAAATTGATAACATAAAAAAATTATTATTATAAATAAAAAATAATTCTAAACAAAAATATATGTGAAAATAATTGAAAAATTGAAATCATTTGGTGTAAAATATATTACAATGTTATGGCATAAAAAGATAAGAATAATCGTAAAATTAGTGTCATTTGACGTAAAATAGATTAAAAGTGTCCTAACAGCTTAATAAAAAGTTATGATAATTTTAAACATAATAAAAAATAAGAACAAGTATAAAAAATAATATTATAACTTAAATAATATTTTTGGCAATGTAAAAGAATTATTATTATACATAAATAATAATTATAAACCAAAAAATAAGTGTTAATATAAAAAAATGAAAGTAATCGTAAAATTGATATCATTTGAAGTAAAATGATTATAAATATCGTAATACCTTTAAGAAAAAGTTATGATATTCTTAAACGTAATGAAAGATAATAATAAGTGCAAAAAAATATCATTATAACATAAATAATTAAGTTTATAGTGTAAAAAAAATATTATTACAGATAAAAAATAATTTAAACAAAAAAAAAGAGTTAACATAAGACGGTGAGAATAATCATAAAATTGATATTATTTTACGTAAAATTGTTTGAAATATCGTTGCACCTTAACAAAAAAATTGTAATAATTTTAAATGTAATGAAAAGTAACAACAAATGTAAAAAGATATTATTGAAATGTAATAAATTTGTAAGGTAAAAAAATTAATATTACAAACAAAAATAATTCTAAATAAAAAAATAAGTATTCAAGTAAAAAAGTGAGAATAATCATAAATTTGATATAATTTGACATAAAACATATTTGAAGTGTCGTAATACTTATGAAAAAATTATGATAATTTTTAATATAATAAAATGTAAGAACAAATGTAACTGATATTATTGTAACGTAAATAATTAAATTGACAACATAAAAAATTATTATTATAAATAAAAAATAATTCTAAATCTAAAAATAAGTGTTAACATAAAAATGTAAGAATAATCGTAAAATTAGTATAATTTACATTTTAATTTGTATAATTTAATATAAAAATGTGTTAAAAGTCTCGTAAGTAAAAATGTGATAGTAGTCGTAAAATTAATATCATGTGGTATAAAATAGGTTAAAACTATTATAATACCCTAAAAAAAAGTTGTAATAATTCTAAACGTAATGAAATATAGGAATAAGCATTTAATGTAAATAATTAAATTGATAATATAAAATAATTATTATTATAAATAAAAAATAATTCAATCAAAAAATAAGTGTTTACGTAAAAATGTGAGAATAATCATAAAATTTATATCATTTAGCATAAAATGTATTAGAAGTGTTGTAACACCTTAAGAAAAAAGTTGTGATAACTCTAAATATAATAAAATATAAAGATAAGTGTCAAAGCATATTATTATAACGTAAATAATTAAATTGGCAAAGTAAAAAATTATTATTATAAATAAAAAAATTTTCAAAAAAAAAAAGTGTTAAAGTAATAAAGTAAAAAAACGTAAAAATAATTGTAAAATTGATATCATTTGACGTCATAATACCTTAAAAAAAAGTTACAATAATTCTAAATGAAACAAAAAGTAAGAACAAGTGTAACAAAAAATTAAAATAATTAATTAACTTGACAATGTAAAAAAATTGATATTTTTAAATTAAAAGAATTCTAAATAAAAAAGTTGTTAATAAAAAAAATGAAAATAATTGTAAAATTCATATCATTAGATGTAAAATGAGTTTGAAATGTTTTATCTTCAAAAAAATTTTAATAATTCTAAATGTAATGATAAAAAAAGTATAAAAATATATTATTAAACGTAATTAATTAAGTTGATTTTGTATAATAAATTGATATTAGAAAGTTAAAAAATATATTATTTTTATTTATTAAATTAATAAATTAAATAAAATTATGTATATATTTTTTAATGTTTACCTGTTAATCTAAAATTTTTTTTTTAATTATATTATTCTTATAATTTATCATTATAAATCATGAGATATCATGATATCTCATTATCTTAAACTAAGATCGCAATCTTATTGTAGACAAATCCGGCCAGAAGTTCCACTAAGATATCTATGTCATTGAAGAAGCAAAATCTGTTCAGAGAAGACTATTTTTCTTGCAAGTGAAGCCGATTGTCTTTAAAGGCTCCAAATTTTGGGAGTCAGAATCGGCGAACATCTCTGGTTGGGCATTCCAATGGCTTGTCTAGTTATTAGGAAATTAAAGGCAGTTTGGTAGTAGCAATTTTTTGCAATAATATTTGGGAGTTAACATTTCAAATTTGATGTCATTTTAAAAAACGCGTGTTCTTTTCTAATCTTTAAATTTTTGCTCTCCTGTCTTATCACATTATAGTACACAGATATGAATCCAAACATGAATATAATATACTAAGCCACGCCCTCCTCCAACCCCTAATTACAAACCTACCCGCAAGGCCGCACTTAAAACCAAAATGATCCAAACAAGGATTTAACTCCATTCCCCCACTCTGGAATTCCCTTCCCCGCTTCCACACACACAGAGAGGCCCGGGCCTTCTGTCTTTTGCCTCGTGACAATTAATTAAAGGCCATAGCCAACGAAGTTCCTAGAAGCAGCATTCAACAGTCCTAATGATGTGTTCTAAAATAGAATTCACTCTAGTAAAATTGCATTTTACAAAAGCAAAATAACATATAAAATTACATGCATCACATATGTGAGTTATAGTGAAGCAGGAAGCTAGGTCACAGATAACAGAACACACTCATAGTGAGGGAGATCTGGTCCCACACCTAACTGCGAGATGGACAACAAAGTAGAGTAACAGCTGGTTAGATCACAAGTTAACATCATTCCACCTATCGTAAAGAACCATTAACACAAGTTATAGCAAGAGAAAACTGCAGTTTACTACATAGGGAAGCAGCTAATGCCTTGTTTCTAGATTTGGTTCTTAGTCGTGGCATGAAAAATCTCCTTTGCCTTCTCTTAAGCTTCTTCCTCTCCTATAGTCAATCTCTGCATCAGAACTTGACAAGCCCAGATGATATTTCCTGCTCCTTGATGAACCCTTCTTCAAAAACACATCCTCTTCATCAGTCAGGGTATGGTTGACAGGAGTACTTAATCCAGTGACATCAATCACCTGCCTCATTGATTTGAGATCTGCATCATATAAGGAGAGAACCTTATTGATTTTCAGGCAACAAGCCACAATAACATAGATGGATGAGAATCCTATTAAGATGGATTAGACACATTTTAGAGAAATATAGTCCTGAAGCAGTTCAGGTGCTCTAGAACTTAAATTTTCTTGAGTAATGGCTTTTTTGATTCATCACGGCCTCCAATTCTATCACAATGTTATTCATGCCTATTGTCTATTACTCCTTTCACTGTGAAAGTTCAGAATATGCACCTTTAAGTTTAATTGTGCACGCATGTCTTACCAGATAATTTTAACCTAGCATAGGGTAAAGTAGGAAAACCAATACCACAAATTATCACTCAGAAATTCTTCAAAGCAGTTGATCTTATTGGATGCATAGATTTTCCCTTAAGAAATTACACTGGATGCACAAAACATTAATTACCACTCGTGCTATCTTCTTGAGAGAAATGAAGCATAGAGTCATTCAGATAGCATGATCAAAAGAGAAGCATAAAAGAAGTAAAGAAAACTTAACCTTCATAATCTTTACCACACAGTTCGAGGGATTTCAAAAGAACAAAAAATAAAAACAATGATACACACTATTAGAAATCTCCTGCATTAATTTAAGTATAAAACATGGTTAAAAACTTTCAGTGTTGTAAAATTATCTCATTATTCTCATTTAGAAACTTAATTTCACTTTCCTTCACTTCTCACATAACATTTCTCTCCTTTTCTTTTCTTTTTCATCAATACAAGATACCATTAACTGAAATCTTTACTGCATGAGGTGGAAAAACTGAAAGTAGACAAAATTTACAAGATATAATCTACGTCATATTTATCATTTAGAAATTACGCAATAGATGATATTCTGGATGATTAGAAGGTTAATGTTGAAGTTACGAAGGATGTTTCAGTTTCTTTAAAATTTCCTCCCCATGATTTCTTGACAACTGACAACTGAAACCGACAGAGTAATAATGCATTTCAGATCAAGTAGAGGACACTTCACCTTCATATCCATTGCATGACACTTGCGCATCATGGTGTACAACCCAATTGACAAGATCAGGTTTTGATTTCCGTTTCTTCTCAGCCAGCAAGTTTTCCAGTATTCTATCTGTCTTTGCCCCTTCGCCACTCGATGCAAGGTCCATACTTACTTCAAAAGTGGGTTTATCTGTAGGAAAAGGTGTCATGCTAAACGAGTCCTCTGTAACATCAGTAATCTCCACATATTGAGTAGTAGTGATTATTTCGTCTGCACTAAATCCAAAGGAAGCTCTGTAAGCTTCAAGTTCTTCCACATCTTGCTTAGGACATTTACTCTGCCTATTCTGATGCCCACTGGAACTGGTAGGATAAACATCTGAATCCTTGGAAACACTTAATCTACCACCAGCATGAGGAAGTGGATTATGATCCAGATAGAATTGTGCAAATGTAGCAGGACAGAAGAAATTTGTATCTTGAGACCCTATGGAGGAACCAGTTACATCATGCCCAAATAGCCCGCCAGAACCAATCTTTGAATGTTTGCCATTCTGAGGAGAAATTGAAGGATCCCACTGCAGACGAAACTCCCGTTCAGTAAAGGATAATGACAAACAATCACCTGAGGTCCTAGAGATTGGTGAGATGAGGCTACTGGCAGGACTCCCGGGGTAAAGTGAATATGTAGATTGAAGATCATTTGCAGCATTATAATTATTCTTATCAGCACTTTTAAGATCTGCAGAAGATGTCAAGAACCGCGCAAAAGGGACATCGGGTGAAGAGGGGGTAGTCACGTGGGCCAACTCGGGAGGGGGAGTGAATGGAGCAGTAGAAGGCTCAGTTGTAAAGGTTGAGAAAACAGGAGGAGAAACTAATTGTGTTTCATGGGCATATGGTCCAGTGGCAAACATTGTGCTTGATGGCCCTCCTGGTGAGTTAGCTGATAATGACAAAAAGCAACTTGGTGATTGAGCTGTTGAAGGGAGTGCAGAATTTGTAAAGGATGCAGGAGAAGAAGGAGGTGCTAGAAGTGAGGGAGCTAATGTAGTAGCCTGGTTGGTCAACCCAACAGCCTGAGGACCATTTGGCTGGGTAGCTGATACATTGCCCTCAGGAATACGAGATGCAGGTACAATGCGCTTACCACCTTTCTGTGTACCAAAACAGGAAAATGCCCCCCAACATCCTCCCCATCTCTTTCGCTAACAACAAGATTAAACATTGCAAGTTTCAGTCAGATCACTTAGTAGAAAGGAAATCTGAAATTAAACAAATTAAAACCAGTAATCCTCAAGATATAATTTCCAATTAGTAAGATGATTAAGCTTTCTCATAATTTCCACAAAGCCAGATTAATTCTGAAACACATAAATGAGCACTAAATAGTACATATATCTCTAGAGCTACTGCAACATTAAAAGCCAGTGAAGATGACAAATACCCAGATTCTTCAGAATCAATCAAGAAGTAATAATTTGCTCAGGAAATAACATTTTTATAACATGCACAAGAAAGCACCATTCAAGCATAAATGTATAATGCGTACATGTCATAAACAAACAGATCACATACCGATTTTTTTGTAGATGTATGTGTTAAAAAATTTTCCATATACAGACACATCTCACATAAACACACGTGCAGAAAGAGAGGGAGTAAATGATTACAGAAATGAGAGACCAACGGTGTGTCCTGTTAACTTAGCGTGTGCGGGTAAACGTAAAGATAATAATATTACGAAAGTGTAATGATAATCCAAACCCACGTATTTCCATCTAATAACTACAGGGTTGTGGAAAAACAGAATAGGAATTTTATATAAAAGAAAATGAACGTCAAGAAGAATGCAGCCCTAAACTTAGGCATGGTTAAGCAGTGCCGTTACAAAATTTGGAATGCTGTACTTCCAAGTTGGCGCTGTTGTTAGGGTCAGATTGACTACTGGAGTTGAGATGCTGTTAGATGTTGGGATTTTAAGATCGTTTGTGTAGGTGGGCTGACTAGCAGCGAATGGATAGAAAATTTGAGAAAAGGTTTGAAACTGCAGAACAAGTAAAGAAAGGGAAATGAAAAGACAGATAAGGTGAATCAAGTTCAAGGGAAATGATCTCAAGTGGTATTAAATAGAAGAAGACAAAAATTCTTTGGTAAACAGAATCGAACAAGCAAAGTTCTCAGGAGGAAGTAGTTGGATCTATAGATGAAGACTTGAAGAGCGCAATAAGCTAAGTACATATATATAAAAAAAAAGAAAAAAGAAAGCAATTAAAAATCTGATGACTGATGTTGAAACTTGAAATTGACAAGTCAACAAAACACACCAAGAAATCCAGCATCTCATCGGAGCTAATGCTTGGTCAGACGGGCCCAGCTCAGATCAATTCTTTCTTCTTCATCTTCTCTTGTCTAATTGGTTTATTATTTTTTTAAAGAAAAAAAAAGAAAAAGAAAAACAACACCACCATATAACAACTCACAAGCAAATCTGACCATTTTAGCAGTAGCGAAAAATGAAAAAAAATCAGATCTGAGACAAAATGGAAGGCAAAAGGAACAGATCTAAAGAATGAGGTGAAGTAAAAAATGTACCCGTTCTAGCTGAGGGAACCTGTTCTGCTCGGAGCCCATGGTGGCCGTTTCTTTCTTTCCGAATTAGGAAGATTTGTATATACACATAAAAAATAATATGAGAAAGTTAAATGAACAGACGAAGAAGTTTGAGGAAGCCAAATCCAGCATTCATGACATTTATTTCACAACATTTGGACAAGACGGAGGAGCATATATCGATAATTAATCTATTACTTACAAGTATTACTCCGTATCGTAGTAGTTAGTTAGTAACTTAGTGTAACTGTGTATGAAGAAATGCGGTTTTGTCTTTGACACTTATAAGCTGTCGCTAGTCGCCATTGTAAAAACCTCCGTGACCTGCGATTGTGATTTGTTAAGCTCAACCACTTCTCTCTCTCTACTAATTCTCAGGACACGAGAGGACCAAGAGAAACAGAAACATCGACAATAATAATACCACTATCAATCAATACCATCATTAAATAATTAAATAATATTCGATACTATTACTATCAGTTATTGTAATACAATTACAATTAATGCAATTAATTAATTATCGCACTTATCCACTCGTAAGGACAAGGAAAGATAAGGAATGTAGAATAGAGGAGATTGCGATTTGGGAGTGCGGGAGCCGAAAGGACAAGGAAAGACAAATACAAAGCCAAAGCCCAAAAGGCATTCAATTGATCTAAAAAGAAATTTAGAAGGAGGGTATCGATTCCGTTGATCAGGAATTTTATTTGTAGACAACTTTTTAAAATTTTAAAATAAAATTATTTTAGTGGTAAATAAAAACTACAATTTTTAAAAAAATAGAAGAGGTGAAATTTGTACAATTTTTAGTTTTTAATAAGATACAAATATTTATTTTGTGTTTTCAAGTAATTTTTTTTAATAAAAAATTATTTAACTTTTTTATTTTTTTACGTAATTAGTAATATTTATATATTTTTAAAAATATATAACATCGATATTGTATTTTTTTCAATTTTTTTATTATTCCATTTTTAATATTATAATTATTTTTATCTAGTCAAATTTAAATATTTAAACCTTTAAAAATATTTATCCAAACAATATAATTATAAATATTAATACTGTGAATTGATAAAACACTTTCATTTTAAAATTTTTTCAAAATTTTAATTTTTTTTGTCTTCCTGTTTACTTAACTCACTTAAAGAAAATATATTTAAATCTTTATATTTGCCATTTGAATTAACCTATAACCTTCAAAAGTGTAATCATGCGTACCATTTGAATTAATACTGATTTTTTTTTCACCCGTATAGCGGGTGTGCTATTGTCTAATATACAAGCTGTATGTTTTTTTTCTTCAATTTAATATATTAATAATTGGATTATGATCTATGCAATATATGAAATAATTTTTTATTTAATATGAGTATATACATATAAATTTATTTTTTTTCAAAATTATATTTAAAATTTTAAATTTTATAACATATTTAAAATTCATATATACTAATTTATTATTAAAAAATAAAATTTTTGAAAACAGTAAGAAGAAAATGTCGTATTCCCTTTTGATCATTCTTATCTATAGTAATATTTATATAATGTGAGATTATATTTGTTGGTAGATCAAAAGATGATTGCGTCTATCAATTTCATATGCTTTAACATTATGAGTATTTGTACGTATTGAATATATTATAAGATTACGGTATATATATATATTTTAAAATATATATTATTGAATGATGAATTAAATAATAAAAATATTAATATATTTTCACTTTTGTAATTTTGTCTGAATTATTGTACAGCATATGAAAAATATTAAAAAATACGTAAAAAAATAAATTGAAAAATATTACTTTTTGTAAGAAAAAATTGCAATAGCAATAAATATATCTTGAAAAAATTTGTAAATAAAAATAAATTATAATATTAATATAAAATACCTTGAAAAAAAGTTACAAACTGGACAAATAAAAAATTGATATAACTCATTATATTTATAGTCTTAAATTTGTAAAAAATTTATTTAGTGGCAATTAGGATTAAATTGATAATTTATAAATTAATTTTTTAAATTTAAAATCAATATAATAAGGGATAAACATGAAATCAATTTTTTTTGCATATATTTAAAATAAAAATTTAAGAGTTAAGATGGATATAATTCTTTCGATGATTTTATTATTTAAAGATTTAATATAAAAAAATTGTTTCAATTTTTAATATCTTACGTAAAGTTATTTAAATTTTTAATATTTTACCTAAATTTTTGAAAAGATATTTTTTTTATTAATTTAAATTAAGAGAAAAAGAAATTTGTTGAAAAATTTAAATAAATTTAATTTTGGTAAACTTTGAATATATTTGAAAGATTTTGATAATTAAATAATTTTTTAAATAAGATTATTTAATAAACAACAAAAACTATTTATTAAGAAGATAAAGTCCATATTTCATATTTTTAATTTAAAAAATATATTTTTAGATTAATTTGATTTTTCATTATAATTAAATAATTTTGATATTTAAATAAATTTAAAAATATTTAATTAATAATTAAAAAAATCTCTTACTCTTTTAAAAACTACTTGTGTGTTTTTAAAAAGAATTGTTCATATAAGTATCTATACAACAAAATTTATAAGGTGTTTATGTATAACGTAATATATATATATATATATATATATATGATTAGCAATAATATTGATTTAGACTTTGGAGGGTATGACTTGAAGGCCTAAGAAAATTGGGTTTAGAGAAATGAGTTAAAAATATTGGCCCAAAATCGCAGGAAAAGAGAACCGAAGAAACGAGAGTCCAAATTTCATAGAAGGAAAAAAGGCCTGAAATAAAAGTTCATAAAAGATGGCCTGAAATCCGAATGCCAGTTGTAGCCGAGACAAGTGAATGATAAAAGCCTGACCAGGTCAGAAGTCGGAGGACAGAATTTTATTTCCTCTCCTCCGTAATTAACAATAAGCCAATCAGTCGTGAATAGGGTTTACGAAGACCCGCCGGTGACAATGATTTTCCCCGAGTTTGGAAAATTTCTAGCAAAATCGTAGTAATTTATTGGAACCAATCATTGGAGTTGTGCAGATTGCGGCAAGGATTGGAAGGGTGAGAAACAGTGTTCAATGGTTGATGCTTTTTCAACTGTGTGTACAGGTAAGAGATTATGATATGGCCACATGCTTGTTTTAATTTTTTTCTTGGAATTTCGGGTAATCCTATTTGTAGATGCTGATGTAAATCTTGTCTGGTTAATTGAATGTGTATTGCGCATTACACCGTTATCGCCTTTTGATCTTTGTAATAGTAAATACATACATGACAATCGAGGATAGTTAGATTTGAATTTGATTCAGGCCACCCATGGTTTCCTCAACATCACCGCTTGACGAATATGATCACGGTCATGATCACTCATATTTTTCCAGAAAGCGGCTTAAAATTTCAGATATCCGAGGCCTCTCTGCAGATTTTGCGTCTTCAATTCGCGGGTATTATTATTAACATACTTTTTGGTTGATTCTGCTTGAACCTTTATTCTTAGGTCTTTTTTTTTAAACAAATCGTATTCATGATTTGGCAGTGATGAACAATCTGCAACGGAGATGGGTTGCCAATCTAATGGCAATAGCAGTGGTATTCCACAATCATGTAATGGCGGTGGAGCTCCATGCGTAGACAAGAGTTACTCCAGCTATGCACCATCTTCTTCTTCTTCTTCTTCTTCTTTTGTGAGTGAATGGATGTATCTAAATGAACATGGGAAGTTGTGTGGTCCTTACATCCAGCAGCAATTATACGAGGGTTTGTGTACTGGTTTCCTGCCTGATGAGCTCCCTGTTTATCCTGTAGTCAATGGGACTTTGATCAATCCTGTTCCCTTAAAATACTTTAGGCAGTTCCCTGATCATGTTGCAACTGGATTTGTGTATCTCACTTCAACCACAGCTTCCAATTATTTAAAATCTTCCCTTACAAATTTCCAACACACGCTTGCCCAATCACAATTTAACTGCAATGGTTTTGATGCATCCGATCACCTCATTTCAAGTTCTCAAGCATTTAGATTTGAGTTGCAGGTATTATTTTTTTTTTCTACTTCAACCTCTTTGTTTTTCTCTCTCTCACTCTCTCTCTCTCTCTCTTTTCCCTAAAACTTCTTTTGAATGATTTTCACTTTTTGTTCCAGTCAGGTGAAGATGCACGTTGGTTGTTTGAGGATGATGAGTGTAGGAAGCATGGGCCTCATTCCCTTCTACAACTGTATTCTTGGCATTGCAATGGGTATCTTGCAGATTCTGTTATGGTAAGCCTGGATATCCTAAAGTTATGACTGATGATGTGAGTGCCAAATGATAACCGCATGAGCTGTTCATTTGTATCAACTGTCAGATCCTATGAACTCTAGCAAACTTGATTTATGTATCGTGGTAGGCATGATGTATTTACTTGGTGTATTGCTTCTTATCTCTTTTGCTTTAATTTATCATTTTGCAGATTTATCATGCTGAAGACAGGTTTCGCCCCACTAAATTGTTGTCTGTTTTAAATGCTTGGAAAGGTAGTCAGTATTTTGCTGAAAATGAACCGGAGTTATCAGTGAACTTCATATCGGAAATTTCTGAAGAAGTTTCTTCTGAGCTACATTCTGGGATTATGAAAGTAGCTCGTAGAGTTATGCTAGATGAAATAATCAGCAATATGATCTCAGAGTTTGTTGCTGCAAAAAAATCTCAGAGATATCTGGTTGAATCATTCAACCAGGATGCTAAAAGTTCTCCTGATGGCAAACTGGTAATGTATGCAATCACCCAAAAAAAAAAGAAAAAAGATTCTGATGTTTATTTATCTTAAAATCTCAAATTCTTTTGTCATACAGATTAAAAATGGCCCTGGAATAAGTATTCATTGCACTCCCAAGTTCGGTACAGCAGGCTCCGACAATGTATCTAACCACTCTTGCATTCAAGAATATATAAATTTTCCTGCAAGTATAAAATCTGTTGGAAGCATTGAAAATTTTTGGGGTTCTTATACAGTTGTTTGTAAGATGCTTTTTGAGTATTGCACGCAAGTTATGTGGAATGCTGTCTTTTATGATATTATAGCTGAATATTCCTCTGCCTGGAGAAGGGGAAAACTTTGGTTTGGTCAGGCTAATGTTATGTTGTCTGCTAGTGAGGCCATGGATCATGGGAAGGAGACTGAAACTGTAACAACTAAATCTGTAAGAAAAGCCTATATGCAATTCTCTGTGTGCAAACACTATGTAATGTCCTAGGACTAATACTTTAATGGTTTTGCAGGTCTTATCTGGGATGAAATTGATGGCTCCTGATGTTGATTGTCCGCCTGATTATGAACTGGCAACAGTTGCTGTAGATAACTATGCAGAAAAGGCATATGTATCTTCGTCTTCTGTGCAGGAAATTTTATCCAAACAGAACGTTCCATTGTGCTATAATGGCCTGTATGATGGCATAAAACGCATCCTGGAAGGTGTTGAAAATGAGCTCCATTTTTCTGCAAAGGTGTTTATGGCAAAGTATGTTGACAATCTTGTTAAAAGTGGAGCGAGAGAAGTAATTGGTTTGGAAAATGATGAAAATTTGAAGGAAAATTTTGATGAAGAGCAAGCAGTGAAATCGGTTAGTTTGTCAATAGGTGATGAATTGAAAGAGTTACAAAAGGTTCATCCTGTTGGTTCTTCATTTTATTTCTATTTTTTTAAAAAAGTTGTAGTGAGAGTAGGTTCTCCCTTTCAGATTACAGCACAATATGTGCTTATGCATAGCGCACAAGGATTATATCTTTCCAAAGTTTAAACAAACATTTTTTTTTACAGCTTCAAGACACTGTTGGATCTTCCAGTCAATGCCATCTTGCATCAGAGCTTGATATTTCAGTCAGTTGTGAAGAGAAAAAGATTGGTTCAAACAAAATGTCTGATTTATCTGGCAATCTACAGAACCAATTACAATCATGGAAACGAGTTTGTCAGTCTGTATCTGAAAATGTTTATGCTACAAGGCAGGATACTTTTATGGCTGGGGCATTTAAGAGATTGTTTGCACATGTAGGGGATGTGATTAATGAACAAGAAGTTAATGAGCCAGCACCTCCTGGGCTTGAGGATAATGCTGGGACTCTTGTTTCATCACAAATTTGTAAATTTCGACCTTCAATATTGGATGGGCGTAGCCCTAAGATTGGGGAATATGTTGCCATGGCAATGTGTCGGCAGAAGCTCCATGATGATGTACTAAGAGAGTGGAAATCATCTTTCGTTGATGCTAGTCTTTATCAGTTTCTTGTATCATGGTGTGGTTTGAAGAAACACTGTGAGGCTGACGGCAAAGAGGTATTGATTGCTGCTTTATACCTTCTATTCCTGCAACTTACTCATAAATTTTGATACTAGGTTGAATATTTCCGTTGACACTTTTAATTTGCTACAGGAAAGGGCATTCAGTGCAGATAGAGAAACTCCTGCTGGTTCTTCTGCCCTACGAGATAAGCTCAGGGAGGGGTCAAGGAAGTCTCTGAGTTCAGGTTCCTCAGAATTATCTTTGGTGACTGGTAAATGTACATATTACCGCAAGAAAAAGTTGGTTCATAAGAAGATTGGATCTTCTCTGTCCATTATTATCAATGGGTCACAGAATCAACCTGTTGAAAGGTGTAGAAAAAAAGAGGCTCCCGGAAATATGTTGGATCATGCAGATCCAGAACCAACTGCAGCCATTTCTAGAAAGGTTGGGATAAATAAAAGTCTGTCTCAGTCATCTAGTATTTCTAGGTCATCGAAAACCATAGCTAGGAATAGTTTGCTTAATGATCACTCATTATCTGAGAGTGCAAGTGGCCGAACAACAAACAAAGGTACCGCTGCCATTCAAAGTATGCCATCTTTTCATCTGATAAGTTCTTGGTATTGCACAAGATGATAACAAACTTAGCAATGCTAATGGTTATTAACTATGTTATGCAGAAAAGTTGGTTGGAGAAGGAGCTGTTAAAGTCTCCAGGGAAAGAGCATCAACCTTTTTGAAATGTGATGTTGAGAAGATTGTTGACAAGCGTAACCATATTGTTGGAAGTGAAGGAGAGCTTACTAATGATTCCTCCAAGAAAACACTAAAAGGTTTTTTTTTTTTTTTTTCCTTTTCTTTTATTCTCAATGTTTTATCTTAAATAATTGCATTATTTTAAATCTTTATTTTCTGTTATTGTCTTCAGCAACAAAGGTATCAAGGGTAAAAAGAAAGCAATTAAATAATGATGAGCCGCCTTTGCTTTCAACCAAGGTACAGAAAGTAGTGAATTGTGGTAGCAAGCATTCTTCTTCTGGAGGGGTAGCAGATCGAAAGATACCCACAATTAGATCCAGGACAGCAAATTGCTGCCCTGGATCTGATGGATGTGCACGATCTTCAATTAATGGCTGGGAGTGGCATAAATGGTCACTCAATGCAAGTCCAGCTGAAAGAGCTTGTGTTAGAGGAATTCAATGTCTTCACATGAAGTATTCAGGTTCTGAGGTTAATAGTATGACACAGTGGTCGAACAGTAAAGGTCTTTCTGCAAGAACTAACAGAGTAAAGCTGCGCAATCTTCTTGCTGCTGCAGAGGGTGCTGATCTCTTAAAAGCTACACAGTTGAAGGTGGTTTTAACATGATGTTTGTTATTTGAATATCTTTGGTTTGAAATGTCTTGATGTGACCTTGTCGCTTTTAAATTACTTAATTTTGTTTTTTAGGCAAGGAAAAAACGACTACGTTTTCAGCGAAGCAAGATACATGACTGGGGTCTTGTTGCGCTTGAGCCAATTGAGGCTGAGGACTTTGTCATTGAATATGTTGGAGAGTTGATTCGTCCAAGGGTAAGTTTGACTTGTTTAGAGACTTGTATGTTTTCCTTTGTAGTCTAATTTTTTGCAATTCCTCCTCTTTTCATGGATGACCACTGATTAGGCTTCCTTTTATAGATATCTGATATACGTGAATGCTATTATGAGAAGATGGGAATTGGTAGTAGTTATCTATTTAGACTTGATGATGGATATGTGGTAAGTATATCGAATTTTTAATGCATGGGTGTGGATTTGAGCAGAATTGTGGTGTGAGTTTCCTTGTTTTTGGAGGCAATCTTTTGACTTCACATTTTTCTTCATGGATGTGTAGGTTGATGCTACTAAGCGTGGTGGGATTGCTAGATTTATAAACCATTCTTGTGAGGTATGTGAAGATGTAGCTTTGTTGATTAGTTGCCACTTATATGATTGATTGTGCTGCTAATTAGAATACTTGAACTGCAGCCTAACTGTTACACAAAAGTTATTAGTGTTGAAGGCCAAAAGAAGATTTTCATTTATGCAAAACGGCACATAGCTGCGGGTGAAGAAATAACTTACAACTACAAGTTTCCTTTGGAGGAGAAAAAAATTCCTTGCAACTGTGGTTCAAAGAAGTAAGATGCAATGTGATTTGTGGCAATGCATTTTATTTCCATTGATTTTGATGCTTCATAAAGAAAACTTATCTATGATTATTCATTTCATAGCTCCGATTAAAAAGGAATTAGACACACTACTTGCTATTCCCAGCTCACTTTTTTTCTAACTGTTCTTGCTTTTGTACAGGTGTCGTGGATCTTTAAATTAGCATGCATACTTCCAATATGTACGTGGATGAAAATTGTTCCTTGAGTTGTGTTACTGACATTTGTATGTGCTTAATTTGATTCAGATTTCTGTTTTCTTATCTATTGTATTTATTTTGTAGGCAATCCCATTGATTTGTTTCTTGTTTTGAAAAGTCAGCAACAATTGATGCCACAGGGTATGTAATTGTCTTAGTGTTGTTGTATATGCGTTTTCTTAGTACGATTTTATTAATCCAAAGAAACAGGGAAGTACCTGCTAAACAGCCACACAAAGGTTAAATGGTACAAGAACCAACAGAAAGTATACCGGAAGTACTAATAAAGGTCTATAGACGTAGAACAGAAGAAAGTACTAGAATGGGGGAAAAACAGTCTTAAATTTATGCAGCAAGATTATTCACTGAGATTTCAATTGTTGCGAAGTTTGGGTTTTATAGAGTTTCTGTTCTGTCTGGTAAGGTGCCTTTTAAGTCATATTCTGATAGGACCTAACCTATGAAGCCCACGGTTTTTACCTCATTGCACAAAGAGTATGAAAAAAAAAGAAAAAAGAAAAAGAATATATGAAGCCAAACATCTGGGACGAGGCTAGGACACATTGCTAACGTTACAGAGTAATAAGAAAGAAAACCTTGCGAACCTATTGGTCGGAGGAGAGATACTGCTGTATTTACAAGACTCCCTAGATAGAGAGAGGGATGGGGGGGATCTGTATGTAAGACTTGGTTATGTAAAAAATGAAAGAAGGAAAGCATTAATAAAACATAAAAATAAAAGAAAATGGTTTTATTAATTTATTAGTTTCAATTTTTGTATATATGTTACTGCATCTTGAGCTAAAGTTTTTCCATGTCAATAATTGTGCTAATAAGACATGTCAACAAAGTTATTGGTTCACGTGAAATGGTTTTTACTGTTTTTCATAATTGATTGACAAATTGACTACATGTTAAAGAATAAGTAGAGGAAATTATTTGAACATTCCCATCAAATATATGGAGTGATTGCCAATTTTTAACATTTGGATTATGCACAGTAATACTGGATGTATTGTTATAACATACCTGATGATGGTTGGTGGCCGATGGCTGATGGACATGATAGCTGAAAGACGTATTCGTTTGATAAAAATGCCACTTCTACCCAGTCTTCTTTTTGGGATATTTTGGAGGCTATTGCTGGACCTTTTATTTTCACAAAACATATCTGAGGGACATGGATATGGAAATTCAACCCTCCTCGAAATATATGAAGAGTCTAAAAAAAGTAGCTGTATGGGGCACATGCCCAATCCCAATACTTATCCCTAAGGCAAAGCAACATAGTTTGACGAAAGGGGTGTAGACAAATATTTTTGTCTTTTATTTAACAAGGAATTATTTATTTATTTTTAGTTATCCATTGATCGACTTGTATATTTGTTCTTGTTATTTCAACTTACAAGTTACTTCATGTCCTTCATTCTTGATTAACTGTAGCTTGACATGCTCAAAGGTAGATGAGCTTGGAATGAGTCCTCTTAAAGATTGTCAATGCCTCTCGGTGGAGTGCAAGTAGAAAGTTTTGGTAGCGAAATGTACCAAGATGAGTTTGGGCGGAGTACTTTGACAGGGTGTATTGGCAATTGTTTCTCTAATTATCAAACTATTTACTAAATTTAGATTTATTTGACAGCCAGTTTACATTTTAATTTATAACAATCAACTATTAGATATTGGTTCCATACTTAATGGGCATGAGATGCTTAATTAGTTCCATAGTTGATTGGCCTGTCGTTGAGGTTGAGAGTTTTGGGTGATCTAAAGCTTCAAATTTGACATCTTGATTATATCTTTTTATATACATACTGTTTTAGTGTTACACCTATAGCTTGTGGCATTTAATCTATCTTTGATAAAAATGACGAAAATCATACCTGCATGACTGCAATTTATTTCATCCTTGATTAGGTTCCGATGGTGAAGGGATTTTGAGCTTCATCTTTAGGACAATGATTTTAAAATTGCCTTTACTTTCTTTCAAATCTACTTGAAGTTGGAGTCTCCCTTATGTTGAGTCCTTACACCGTTGTCTCAAGTGCAGAGTTTTAAAAGATTCGCCTTTGGGTTATTCCGAACCTGGTGCGTCCTCTTTAATATGCAATCGCAGTAATTAGAAACCAATGACTAATATTTGCCATGAATTGTGAACAATGATGAATGTTTCAGGTAATGGGCAATTGGCAAAGTTATCAAATAGGAGTGGATGATGTGGTAATTTTGCATCAAGTGTTTTGCCTACATCTGGAAGATGAATTACTTCCCTGTTCGTCGTTGTTGTATACAACACTGTTGCAGATGAGTTACTCCACTTAGAATCTGTAATCAGTTTATTGATTTCTTGCCTCTTGACATGTTGGAAGTTGGAATATTAAGTTTTTGTACAAACATGCTTTATTTATTAATTTATTCCATATTTGTCATTTGTATACCCATTTGGTTATGTTAAGATGGTTACTGGAATTTTTGTGCTCTCAACCGTAGACATTCGTTTTGTTTAAACGAATTGAGAGGTGGAAATTTTAACCCTACACATCCATTGAGAAGCTACCAAATTTTACACGGATTTTATTTAGACCCATCTATCATAAGCTATATATACGAAGTCTGAACCTGAATTATCGGTCTTCAATTGAAATATTTGCAATGACTTATGTTTATGGGATCCCTTCATTAGACTGTAATAAGTTTAGTTACATAGAAATATGTCAAAGTTCGAATTTGAAACAATGATAAGGAGGGGATAAGAGGATGAAAATAATAGGTTATTTTGTGTGAAATATTCTGCATGCCTGCTGGCGGTAGGTCATTATTTGTTAACTTGTAAGAGTTTGGAGACTATGACTCCAGGTAATAGCTGGAGAATTGAATCAAAGATCAATGTAATATTGTTAACGAATTGATGTTTGTGCTCGCAAACAGTGAATTGGAGTATGCAAATCTAACTTGATCCTTCCGTCTTCAAAGGACCAGCATCATGGGGACGCTTGTCCTTCACCTATTCCAGTACCATATTGATAAGTTCCCTTGGCATCGTTTTTCCTTTTTCTTTTCACCGTAATTCTGCTGGTTGCAGGGTTGAATAACGCCTCTCTGGCGTAGGTCTATTTATGCTTCCGGTATGTCCCTGCACTCTTCTTGTTTAATCAAAATCTTAGGTGGGAGTATTGTCCAAACACAGCCAACTGAGGGTAGCAAAGAAAATACCAAATTCACCAAAGGGTAGAAATTTGGGTTCTCTTGGAAAGGTTAGCCGTTAGCATGTGTTAGGGTTCTAATCCCCGCATCCCCGCTGGTTTCTAATCATGGTGTCAACTAACACTTAACATCAAATTTAATAAAATTATTAATAAAAATACTATATCGTTACAACATTGAAACTTAAAAGTAGAAAGATTATAAAATGACTTTTAAAAGTATATGAATTAAAAATAGTATACAAATCATTGTTTACGGACCATAATTTATTTAAATTTACACGTATTAATTTTCGTACTAAGATTTTTTTTTTAAACACTATAATTTACAAATAAAGAAAAGAATTGAAAATGTTAAAATTTAAACTTTAACTTTTTAAATATTACCTTTTAATAAAGTGTGCATGAACCATCTTTTAATTCAAAATGATAATGAAACGTTTTATCTGATAAAAGACTAGATCTAGTAGTTCATACTTCATTGGATATAATGATACTGGGATGGCATTAATTTGAAGTTATCAAATCTTAGTGCCCGTCGTTTCATGGTGGTGAAGACTATAATGCGAAATCCGACGATTGTAAATGGACGGCATGAGAACCGCATGAGAGCAAGTTTTTTTTATAATAATTATATTATAATTAGTCAATAAGAATTTAGATTTAGATAAGGTATATTAAAATATTATATGAAATTCATTATTATTATAAATAAATAATTATAAACGTATAATAAAAAAAATTACATGTGAAAATGTTAAAATAATCATTTTTATTTTTAGACGTTGTTGATGACTTGGGCATAATACATTTATATTGCGGCACAATTTTGGTAGAATCAAGATTGTATGAGTTTGTATGATTATTTGAATACTTATTTATTTCAAGTTATTATGATATTTTATTTTGCCATAAAATAATTATTTTTATTTAAACAAATTTATTTGAAATAAAATAAAATAAATTTATTAATGTTCCAAATAAATTCAAATAGTTATGAATTTTTTTATCGAATAAATTTAAATAGTTATGAATATATAAAAATTTATTTATTTCAAATCGTTATAACAGTTATTCAGTAATAAAATAATTCTTTCTATTCATACAAGTTTATTTGAAATAAAAAAATATTAATAATTAATATTGCAAAAATTAACAAGTAAGATATTTAAAAACACCAATCCATTTATTGAATAAGTTCAAATAATTATCACTATTTGAACAATTATCTATTTTGAATGAAAATTTTATTTTTGTATTGGTTTTTTTTTTTCACGAATATCTCTCTTGATTCATTTCATTTTTCTCATTTTTTTTTGGATTATTTGTTATTTGTGTCTTCTATTTTCTTCTTGGTTTATTGGGTTATTACCTATTTCTTTATTTTGAGATGACTTTATTGTCATTGATATTGATAACTTTTGTTTCAAGTGATTTTATTATTTTTCACTCATTTGTTTTTTCACGAGAGATTAGGTGATTCACTGGATTGTTTATTTGTGGTCATTGGTTTTTAGTATCATTTATGTATTTGCGATTTAAAAGTAAATTAAGGTTGGTATGATTTGCATGCTTTTTTGTGATTGTTTTGAAATCATTTTTTCTTGACAATATATTTTTTTAAACTATAATTCATATTGTACTTGATGTTGTATACTATAAGGTTATTAAAACTTTATTACTTACTTCCTTTAATTTTTGTTTCTATTTCTTTCTATTGATTGGTTTCATTTTTTTTTTGTTGAGATTGCAAGTGGTGTCTTTGCTGTTGTATTTTTTTGGTCCTCCGTTTACTACATTATTCAATTTGTTATTCGATTAATTTACTAAGTATGTACATTTTGTTTTCTTTCTATTTGTTTGTTAGCTTCATTAATACACTTGAATTGATTTGAGCATTTATGGTTTGATTTTGATTGTTTGTTATGCATTTACTCATAACAATCAATGTTGAATGTTTTATTTTATTTTTAAAATCTGATTTATATGTATGATTAGTTAGACTTTTTTAGCTTTTAAGTTTTTTTTGTTGTTTATGTGAGTATTTATTTAGTAACATTCTAGATTAATATGATTAAATAATTGTAAAAAAATTCATGGAACAAAAACCATATATGAAATAATTTCAAAGTCATTTCTGTAAATGCTACTTGATTTTTAATTTGATGATTTTTTTGGGCTTTTTCTTTTCAATTTTACAAATAGTTCTTTATCTTTTGAAATTCATTGTGTGTTTTTTTTTTTTTAATTTTTAGGTGAATCATGTTGTTATATTTGCATGGATAACTTTGTGATTCTATTTTTTATTTTCTGTTTTTATTTCATGATGATTTTCATTATTTTATGATTGTTATGTCAGTATATAAAAAAATGAGCTTGTGTTTTTTGTTTTGTTTTGTCATGTTTATTATTACAGTTATGTTAGTATTTTTTTTCATTTGTTTCTGTTTTTCTTTTGTAGTCTGACCAAGAGTGTTTGTTGTATTGGTTTGTTTATGTGGTATGTTTTAATTTAATGTTTCTCTATATGTTTCTTTACTGTATTTAGCTATGTTTTCTTTACTAATTATGTAAATTATAGTGTTATTTTTATTTGCTTTCTTTTGTTTGAGGTTTTCTTTCTTCGTTGTTTATACCTTATTATTGATTGTTTATTTTGGGATTTTTTTATTAATTTTATTATCGCTTATATTTTTTATGTTTGTTATTTTTGTGTTTAGTTGATTTTTTGTTTTTTATATATTTGATTAATAGTTTCTTTATTATTGTTTTATTTGAATTATGGGTTAAAAATT